AATATATATATATATATATAATAAATCCGGATAATCCGGCTTCTCCCGTATATCTTACTTCAAGTATTCCACATTTGTCAAAGGTTAATATAACGCTACTACTATTATTCAGCACCTTAAATCTATAAACAAAACATTATATAAGGCGCTATTTCCACTTTCTTTTTGTTGGGTAGGGACAAATGTTTTTAAAGTGGCTGTTTACAGCAATAGTGGAAAGTGTAGCACGAGTAGACCGAGCTGTCCTGTAAATCGGTGGATCGGAGTTATTCCGCTTTTGTGGGTATAGAAGCGGGGGTTGTCGGTTTCGATGACTCAACAGGAAAAGCTACGACGGACTAAACCGACGGTAATTAGTGTGGAGTATGGCCAGTCGGCGTCCTTTCTGGTCTGTGCGAAGTCATGTTTAATAAAACAACGGAAGAAGCTACTAAACAGGTGTTGATTAGTATAGAGGTGGTGATTCATGTTAGATTTCGGGGTGCCGGTGCCGTCGCTCCACAAAGATAGCCGCTAAATTCGACTAAGTCTAGTAGTGTCCATTGGCCAATTAGTATTACCCTTTTAGGGCAATACAATGTTGCCACAGTGTTGGGAGGCGCAGTGATGAAACGTAGACGTGGACTCAAACAGCCACCCGATTGGCAAGCCAGAAACAGCCAAGTTGTGACTTGCTCTGTTACGATCACAGCCTGATATCTGGACGAGCGGGCCGGCTGCAGGGGCTGAATATTGAGTTTCTCTTCTATAAAGCTTATACGCCTAGCATATCCAATCTGGCATAGCAGCGGATGTAACCCTTCACTATAGGATCTATTATTCGTTAACACTATTAGCTAGAACCATAATCTAACGCAACTACAGCAACGCACCTAAGACAACCTATCACGTAAGCATTAGAAATGTGCGGAAGGTTGCATGGTTGCGCTCAGTCGACAATGAAACTTCCATCTTCCCAGCTTTAAAGTTCTCTCGGGCGATTTGCAACTGAGCACTTTACTAGCTTATATAGCTAATTGATCATACCCTAAGTCTATTGACTCCTGTCTACTGTCGAGTGCAAATACGAACTTCCATTGCAGTCTGTCTTATTGAGATTCACCGAGGGAATATACGGTACTCTCTATTTTTTATCCTCTGGCTTGATAGGATCAGGACGTGCCTGAGCAAACAATATCATGTTCGCAGTTTTCCAAATAGCTACCCTTGTGGCTATAGCTGGACGTAGCTTTGCTCATCCACACGAGTCTCGAGCAGCCACGATTAGCCCCCTCAAGCTTATCGATGACTCTATAGCAGCCCTTGGAGGCCAAAATGCGCTTGCCAGCTTGAACGAAATTATCTATGAATCTGCAAAGTAATACAATCCATTGTAAATACTTGACAGGTAGTTAGCTAACTGCCCTGATAGCATTTTCCGAACTTCCACCTTGATGCAGAATTACAAACTGTTGGCTGCCGACCGACACATTGTTGCTTCAGGATCCCAGAACCTATCTTTTTCCTTTACAAATGGCACCTTCTATCATAGGATTGATAGGGACTTCCATCTCTCCGGTTAGTAAAACCCGCCGCTGCTCAACTCTTTCGCTTTACCCACTCTCCTTTGTTTTAACTTTGAATGGCTATTCCCATATCTGGGCTAATAAAGTTGCAAGATTACTTCTATTTTGGTGACCCAATTCTCCAGCCTCGGTCCTTCTCTCTTGTGATGAAGAATGGCAACAAAGATGGATATGCATGCTACGTCAAGGGGAATAATAATGTCTTCAATATTCCTGCCCAAGTTGCCGGTTATGCCGATTGTAATAACCTCTCCTACGATCAAGATGCATCAATAAACTGACATTTCTAGCTGCACTCACCGAGTATCTACTCTTCCAGGCGGAGAAGTTCTCTCCAAGGCTGCTCCTAGACGTAAGATTTGTGTATTTTCATAAATAAAAGCTGAGATTGTGCTAACTGTAACTTAGATCCGAAACCACAATATTACTGCAGATGCAGTAGATATTAATGGCGTTGAACATTTCGCTGTTCATGATCCTGCTCTTGGTATCATTGTAATTTTCGATTCGATCACGCACTATCCCAAGATTATAAGATCATTCGAAGATCATGCTATATTTGGACGTACGACACATGATCTGCAACTATTCAACTATACGGAGGTTTCAGGCATTCAGTTTCCCACGCGCCAAATGGTACTTTACAATGGAGATGCTATTATTGAAGATGCAGTAGTGTCAAAAATTACTGTCAATCCGGACTTTGGATCTGGTCTTTTCGACGGACTTAGCGCAAATGAGACCAAAACCCAGCCAGCGCCCCCAAAAATGATCCCAGGGTATTCCCATGCCGAAATTGGAGAATACTGGTATAACACACTTTGGGGTGGCCAATACACCGGAACTTTAGCCAACCTAAGTGTCACACAGCCGGCTGCTGACCTACCTCGTGTTCACAAGTTGTTGTTTCTAGATTCACCGAGTCTAGAACAACTAGTGCTCGAGTTTGACGACTCAGTTATTGTGTTTGAAGCGCCCGCACACCAAACCGACTTGGTAATTAGATGGATTCAGGAGAAATTAAAGAAGCCCATCACTCATCTCTGGGTATGACAACCTTCTGTACGCCCGCATTTACAACTACTAACGTCATTAACCCGCAGCCTTCACATCACCACCACGATCACAATTATGAAGTACGAAAGTATGTTGAGCTCGGTGCTCAGATTATTGTTCCGGAAATCTCCGCGCCACTGTGGCGCCAAATCCCCAACGCAAAATTGATCACATTCAGGTGAGTATTCATGTGACGAAAAAAAAAAGGCAGGCAACAGCTGAAACAGCATAGCGAGAAACGCCCTTACATTCACTCTGATGGCAAAATGCAGGCCCGTTTCTTATGGCGGCCCGAGGCGGATCACTCTGTGGACTGGACCTATTCAATTATTACCTCTGCCTGTCCATCAGCTAATAGTAGTATTATGGCCTACATTGCTGACGCATACTCTACATCTACTGCATACGATAATGCTGTAGCCAGAAACTGGTTAAAGCAAGCCATGACAGACGGCTTAAGCCGAGCGGCTTTGTTAGTCAAAACGTGGGTCGTGGTTCTATAGTATTACAGGCTAATTACTTTACTTAGGGTTATCCCTGCCCATGGTCAGCCAACCCCGCTGGTTGAGCTAATCGATGCGCTAGCATTTGATTATCCTGGACTTCGCACAACGGACTTCAAGACTGGTGGTAAGATATGCCGGAGAAAACGTTAATCTCACAGGTAAGAACCAGATACTCATCTGTACTTTGAAATTCAGTACAGTACTTGTGTTATATGGCATGGCTACACCCCTTGAAACTGACACATTAATATCTACAATAGCAACTGCTACTGCCTAGACTAGCAAAGGTTTCTTTCCTGTATAAAGAGCTGCGTGGACACCACCCAAAAATAGGGCAATCGTTGCAACTAAATATGTCGGAATTGTAATTAGTGCCTACAGTATAATAGTAAACCCTTCTGACAGATATAGCGAACAACAATAACAGTCAATTTTTTACTGTAGCGAGAGAAGCTTAGTTAGCCATATGTCTCACAAGGTGACAGAATTGATGTAGCTAGGGTGAGCCACTTGGTAAGCAAGTGGGCCGGACAGCCCAAGCTCACATAGCCGGCTCTGTTTGTAACTCGGCATCCGGTCGCTTTTGAGTTAGGCCGGCTCCGTGCCGTGTTGAGACCACCGGCCTGGTCTGGTTGCGACGTGACCTCGGGGAGATAGCATCATCATTGCCGATACACACATCCACCAAGAGACCGAAAACATCATTTATCGCGCGAAACCGTGCTCCGAAAGCTCAACCAGATGGCCCAATGTGATACATCAGAGCGCCTTCCTGGTCCACAAACTACCGAGAGCACCGCAAAACCAATCAGATGTCTGGGACAGTCGAATGGACCCAAGGAGTCAAATTCGTGTTCATAGGAGCCCTATGATCCATGCAAGGAGCTGTGAAGCCCCGTCCCCCTTCCCCAATTTCACGGCAACACATCCGCATTAGGAGTGTGAATTGCTCGGGGCCCCGGGCCCAGTTAGGCCCACTGACTACTATATCCAGGCCCTTCTAGTACATACTTCTTGATACTACATAGAATGCTGGTTTCTATTTAGCTTTACCTTGACTCCTCTTATAAATTTGGGACTAAAACTCTATCTTTGCCTGCGGCGGCGCTTAAATTCTAATTAATAATCCGGCAGCGCATACCCTGTCTTGCTGGACTTATTTAAATTTATCTGTAGCCAGGTATCTTATGGGGCGACCGGGCCCGTCGCAAAAATTGACCGTCGCAGAAATTGACCGTCGCAGAAATTAACCGTCGCAAAAATCGACTGGGCCTCACTCTGCAGTTACGGAGTAGTCAGAGACAGGCATCCACAGAAACTAGTTACCCTGAACCTCGAAAAGAAGAAAATGATGAAAGGAGTTTGCCAGAGGGGGTGGGCAAACACTCCAAAAAAGTTGATGCAGCCCTTTCAGCTCAGCATACTCGACAGCTATACGATGACGTACCCTGGATACACGAGACTCAATAACTCACTTTATCAGATGCATACATCACTATCTAGGTAGTGTGCTTGTGGATATAAGCCCGAGACAGTGACACATTTTCTATTTCAACGCATCCACCCACTACGCACTCACCGCCCAACTACCATCACCACCTCGTGCTATAGATAGCAGACGCCGCTTCAGCTGCCGTCGATAGAATCCTAAACACTTAGGGGGCATGCTCTAAGCTAGTGCGCTGTGAATAATAAGACACGAAAAACTGTAGTGATATAAGGGAACAAATTATAAGAGCAGAAACCAGATAACAATTGACAAAGGCTAATAGACTTCAATGAGATCAAGGGTAAATTCTAGAAGGTACTTGTGCCTTAGGTTTATAGCTGCCCTATTAGAGGATGATGATGAGGATGAGGATGATATATTTAACGCCTTGGACCACACCTCCCGAGGGGTATAAAGGCGTGCGAGAGTCTACATAGTTACTTCAGCATCTGGATGTCCTGACAAGCCACATAGCCCGGGGAGACTAGATCAACGGTAGTCCACATCCCTTCCATACAGCCACGTCATAGCCATTGCCCAAGATCCCTCCACACACTACATATCCGCAGGTTCAAGCCTCCCAGTTGGAAAACCCTGGCCATGGCCGGGACAAAAAAACCAACCGGTTCAAGCGGCATACATTATGTCAAGTCCTCGTCCCTCCGCCGGTCGAGGGACTCGGAATCCCCTAGCCCGTCAACGACTCCTAAAGACTCCTCCCTCAAGCCCGGGTCCCTGATCCCGCGGTGTTGCAGTTCGTCCGGAGGTATAGCGTCGAGGACTGTCAGTTTCGGTCAGGACCACGCCTTGTCGGACACAATGAGATCCCCGATAATCTCGTGGCCACACTCACTCTTGGATGTCAAATTGACCGTATCCGAAGAAGCTGGTTCCAGCCTCGAGAGGTTGGTCCGCGGCGACGAAAATGTCCAAAGTACTAGACGGTACAGCCTCTTCATCTACGGGGCAGTCAGCATTAAAGGCCGCCAACAGTAAATGAAATAGAAATAGGGCATCCACTGTGTCAGGTTGCATAGCATGGGGATACTCAAACTCTTCCAGCATAGACGATGTAGTGCCCAGAAAGATGACAGCGCTCTAAGAAGCCTTTGAACTGGGAATGACTTGAATAGAGACAGAACAGAGGACCATACTCCATTCCAATCTTCGGCAAGTGGTCACAAAAAGCATCCACGTCAACAAACTCGGCAGCATCATCGTTGGCGAGCAGTCGATAGCATTGGCGCTGCTCCCACCACTGCATGTCAACAACAGATTCCTCAACTTCACTTTGGAGCTCAGACGTGTACTCGGGAATAACTGTGCCATGGCAGCATTTTGTCCAAGATGTTGATATCGTGGTGGTGGAGAAAATTGTCAACACATACTGCCCAGGTACGTGTTTATCAGGAAGCAAGCTGAGGCTGGTTTTCACGGCCCCTTCTTCATCCGACGGCACAATTAGTCCACGTTGGAAGCTGACGTCTCGAAAGCGAGATCCATACAGCGTCCGTGACTTGTCTGACAGCTGGGACGCCTCTTCCAAAGCCATGACGAGCATTCCCTCATCCGGATACAGAGTCGTGCCCGTGATTTGGTGATGCTCGATCCAGGGATTCTCAGATACGCAAAGATAGTTGTTCTACCGCGGCTTGAAGGTATTCTCCAAATCTTCCAGCGCTCCAAGAAGGTCCGTCCGAGGATGGACAGGAAGCCAGTTGGACTTTGCGGAGTATCGATACTTTGCGCCAAAAAGGCCGGGTAGGGTTCCAAGGATATGGAGGCAAGTTTGAGAGGGCCTTTGAGAGAGAACCGAACTTTGAAGGCCCATACCAATGTCGCCACTAGAGAGACCGACTGTTTCCCTTGGCACAACTTCCCAATGCCGCAGATGGTATACTAATGCTACTTGAAGCACCGTAGGGCCCATCAGCCCAAAGAACCAGGAGACACGGTTCGCAATCATGCAGAAACAATTCCTTATTATCCAGCCGCCATAGTCAAAGCAAGTCAGTCAACACGGCAGCCTCTAACCTCTCAGACTGCAACAACAAAGCGCAAGTCCCGCCCACCTATTATTAACTTTTGCCAAAATCCACCATACAAGTCGCCAGCCACCGCAGGCGCATCGTCTTGATGCGGTACTGTCTCACAAGTTCTCTCAGCAATTTGTTTCCCCGTAAAGCCAGGGTAATCATCTCTCCAAACCTCCCTCGAGGCAAGTCTCATCAGCTGCACAAACGACTGATGCGCTCAAATACGGACATGGGAAAAGTCAATATACGCTGCTGCCAAGACGCAAGAACTGCTCAAAAAGTCTACCCGACAAGTCAAACTCTACTGATTCAAGTCACTTCTTCTTACCCTTCTTCCGCTTTGATGCCTTTGCCTTCTTTTTCGCCGCCCCCGCCTTTTCAGACTTCTCCCGATCAGCAGCATCCTCCGTCAGTAGTTCTCTAATTCGCTTCTCCAAGTCTTCTTGTTCATCCACTGACTGTGCTTCTTCTTCAATTATTTTCGCTTGCATCTCAGCCATTTCGCGCCATGAAGTTTCCAAAACACACTCTCTCGCCATCTCCCACTCATTGTCGTCGGCGTCGGCAACGCGTTTCCACTCTAGCCATCTCTGCGGCATCGTGTCAAACCAACCGACATGCCGCTCAAAGTCCCGAAGGCTAGGCTCGTCGCTTTTGCTGTGTACCAGACGGTTAGGCCACCTTCGGGTTATCGTGTTCTTGTCCTTGTATTCCATGCCAAGGAATCCCGTTTTGAAAACGCTCGTCTCCTTGTCGGTTTCACAGTCGGTTGAGAGATAGAATGCAAAAAGCTTCGCATCCTGCATAAACCTGCGTCATACACTGCTGGTTAGCCACACGCAGCAGACGGCCGTAGTACTCGAGTGATGTGACATCTTACCGCTCCGAAAACTTGTCCCAGTTGCGCCACATCAAAAGACCGATTCGCCGTCGGATGACGGTCTCTGTTTCACAGCCTTGTTCTATTTTGATTGGGGGCGCATAATCGTCAAGAATGGTAGACGATGGCTCAAAGGTTTGGTATCCCTCTTCACAAATCTCCTCTTGCAGTCCTGCATCTGAATTAGTGACCGAGAGTCGACACATGGCCAGCATTGTGGCAAACGGATTCTGGTCTTGGTGTCGCAGGTTCCCGGCCGCAATTGTCAGACTGCACGCAGGGTTGAAATCCCATAAATCTCCCATCTTGTCACGTCAGCCAATTTGCTTGGTGCGCGGTTTTGGAACAAACTCACGTGAATACGATCATACATGACTGGCTCAGGAGCTCGATGAAGGGACATGGGCATATCTACCGAAGTGAGGCCAACCATTATGGACAGTCGTTTGCTTTCTTCTTGAAATCGGACCAATGTGTCGCGCAAGTAGTAAAACAATTTGCCGTATACATCATTTTGAAGTGGGCCGGCTTGGAAGTCGAGAAACTCCATAGGCCACTCTGCGATGGGCTCTGCGGTTGCTCCGTGTGGGTAGCAACCGTCGCCTTGGAAGAATATGCTACATCAAAATCAAAGGTTAGTGTAACCAAGCCAGGTGAAGCGCAGCACAAGGAGAGGAACTTGCGGGTTCGGCATGTCGAATCCATCTGTCGGGTGTCCAAATGGCAGCAACAAGCCATCTGTCCTCCATTTCATCAAGCCGGCAGTCCTGGAAGGTGTCATTCGGGAAGCCGCTATTTTGAGAGGCTCACAACTCTTTTCAGCATCCAGAACTCGAACGATGGTTGCCTGGTCAGTAGACATTTGTTCGGTTGGTTTTAGAACTTTGCTTATCAGGCGCCATTGGTGCTCAAACAAGTTTCCAACATACTTGACTTGACCGCCGCCCCATGACATTTGATATGATACGTCATATCCAACGCCATCATGGTATACACTCTGCTGGTCTCTTTTGGCATTTTCAAAGCACTCGTCAAAATCATAGTAATACCTCTTCATAACAACCTCTATATGGCGCCAGAGGGCAAGTGGCAGCTTCGCTGAATACCAGAGGTGAATCACGGCTTCGGCATTCAAATAAGGATCGTGCTGCCGATCAAAAAGCAAATGAATAGCGAAGAAGTCCCGACAAACATGTGCCGGAGTGGTAGGGTTCAGCGCTAGTCGAAGGACTGGTTTGGCTGTCTTTGGTATGTTGAGAAGCGTGTATATGAAGTGTCGAAACGTAGACTCTAAGCCAATGTTATAATGCGAATCTCGGGGGTCATTAATTCAACCAACGTACGTCCTTGTATAAACATGGACAAATTTCCATCGAAAAACCGCCCTTCATTTTTCTCAAGGTTCAGTAAGTCTATTGCGGCGTAGTTTGACCAAAAAGTAAAATAGCTATCCACATCATTTCCTTTTCCTTTGTATGCGTGGTCATGCGTCGTCTCGCAGGCGAATTTGTGCTCGGGCCAATGTCGAGCGCGGCAGGCATTGCCACAATACTAAAGATTTTTAGCTCAGAGTCATCTTCAATGCCTCTCGTCGTACGTACAGCGACCAGTTGGCAGTCTAGGCAAGGCATAACCGGTGTAGCGCTGCATGGATTACCGGCCTCATCCTTTGCGGCACATATTGGCCGTGTGATTGGATGCGTTTCCATTTGCAAGCTTGGTGAGGTCACGGTGACATTGTATCAAAGGCGAGGCGATGTATATCTGGAAAGAAAAGCTCCCAAATGAGTGGCGTAAACGCTATGGAAGGTCTGCTACGAACTGGTGAGAATGAATATTCGTTGTTGTTGGATCCGAGGATGATAAAGCAAGGTGGACAAAGAAGGTGAAGTGTGCTTGGCAAGATGGAACGTCAATAACTGACTGCACGGCAACGGCATTGTCAATATGAGCGCGTCAAAGGCACGTGCATGGCATGAGTGCCAGCTGGGAGGCAATTGCCAGCTAGATTGGAATGACCAGACGTGACTACAGCCTTGCCTTCAAGTACATGGCGTCAAGTTGCACCGGACCTGCTCCACAGTTCAAATGTTCACTCGAGCATCTTGGACAGGATTTTCGTACCATAAAGGGTTCACTCATCATCAAGCACACGGGCTTTTGACGCTCTAACGAATAATTGTACATGGCAAGCTAGCACATCAAGACAGACCAGCCGTCGGTCCATCTCAACCCTCCCATAATCAGCACCATGACGGCGAATGAGACGACGACACTCGTCGCGCCATATACGTAGGCGTTTCTCCTCCTCAAACTGTTCAGCTCCGCGACCCACGTCGACACCGTCGTCAAGCAGCCGCAGAATCCATCCTCGACGCCCTGCAGAACCTGACACCCAATGATGCCGCCGCTCTGAACGTGGGCAATATCCCATGCCATGCCCAGTACAGCCGTGCCAATGACGTTGGCGGCAAACGTCCCCAGAGGAAACGCGGCGATTTTACCATTCAAGTAGATGGCGAGGTAGAATCTCGCCAGGCACCCAAGAGGCGCGAAGACCAGGGCAAATGTGGCTTTCCCACGCCACTGATCATGCGGGGGGAAGATGGACATGAGCACGGCACCCAGCCAGCATCCCCACCCCAGCAGAACAAACAGAGGATCCAGGACTCTCCGCGTAATCGGGAAGGGTATCGAAGGGATAATGCGCTCCGTTGCGATGGCAAGGTGCGCACCAAAGACGAGCGCTGCCAGCGACAGTCCCACGGTGGTGATGATGACTGCCAACATGGCCATGAAGGAGTAACCCCCGTTTCGGCTTTGGGCCTCGGTCCCGAATCCCGGCGCGACAATGTCATTCGACATGGCCAGGAAAACATCGCGGATAAAGGTTGAAAAGCTGGTAAAGCTTCCGCAAAAACCAGTCGCCAACCCAATGTACAGAGGTATCGTCTTTTTGGTCGCAAGGTGTTCCTTCTTGGCGGCCGCGAGATCAATCCCAGACGCTGATCCCGCGGTGGACGCGCTCTCCTCGTCACTCCGCCCCTTTGCACGCGCGAGGGTCTGGTCGTATGTCGGTGTGCCCCATTCATGGCGAAACAGCATTCGATCTTCAGCGAGGAAACCCATGATGAGGCTGCCCCCGAAGTTGGCCCAGATTGTGGTAAATATGACGGGAGTGTCGACGTAATGCGTAAGAGCCGTCAGGCCCAGTCGCGCGAGCGTGCCCATCAATGAGAAGAAGACCAGGTATGATAGGGTGTATAGCTGGGTGAGAAGTTGGGATACATTTTCCTTGCGAGCTTCTTCTTCTGCTTCGAGCGGCCCCTCGGGTAGTTGCTGCGATCGTCTTGTACGCCACTCTCTCTCGTGGCTACGTGCGACTTCTAAGCTCGAATGACGGTAGACGGGGCCGTCGGTGACGTTTTCGACAGGGCAAGGAGCCGCGAGTTCGTCGAGGTTGAGATAGGCGTCGGGGATGGAGTAATTCTCCTCGTCTACAGCAGAGGCTCTTCGGCGTCGAGACTTGGAGCGGCTAACCCTCTTTTCTGCGGTTGCTGAGGCAGAGGCGTTGTTGTCCATGGTTGTTGTTGGACCATGGGAGGCCGTGTTGGGCGCGTCGGGCGAGTTGGCGATGGCGGTGGTTGATGTCAACTCGTTGTCGCGCAGCTTGTGCGTGTCACCCGCCATGATGCCTCAGGGAGCCGAGCTTCGTTGGCACCGTACGAGGCGGCTCAACGAAGAGGGTTGGAGCATCTTATAGTCTTGGATTGACAGTCCGACGTGGTTGACGACGGGAAGGATGGGTGATGTGACGGTTAGCAGGACCCACAACGGATATACCGGCCTGGCTGGGACTGGCAGGCGATAATTTCGTGTTGGCCATGGTGGAGGCTTGGAGCGGTCCCACCGTGGCCGTGGCAATGAATGTCAATTGATCGAACTGGTTTTATTTTGTCGTGTCAAGTTGCTATTTCACGGATGGGCATAATTCGAGGTGGCCGTAATCGTCATTCGGCATGACACTGCGCCGACGTCGGTGTATGTACTCGGCACTCCTCGCCTGCAGCATGTTCACAGCCTATCACTAAACAGCCCCTGGTGCAAGCATGCATTATCCCGGCACCTCCGTCTCAAGCTACGAGCTGCCGAATCCCGATGACTGACCGACCGGTACACCCATCTTCTAGAAGATCCATTGCAAAGCAAGTCATCCGGGCCCGGGCCGGAAGACCTTGCTGCGCCGCTTGTAACGGGCCAGACGACAGCTGAAGCCGTCGATGTATTCGGTATTCTCGCAGTGCGGAATCCGGCTTCCTGGCGCCATCAATTGATATCTTGTCATGCTCCATCCGCAGCTTTTCCCTACCGCGCATGGGTGGACGACCAGCCGTCCTGCATCAATAGCTGCGAGCTGGTGGTCCACCTGGCCAGGGAGGAATCCAGGCCGCTGCGTGTGTTTAACCGTCAGACTGGAAGGCTTGCAAGAGTGTCATTTTCCGTCACTCGTGGCGCATTTCCCCACGATGCACGCGCAAACGATGAACGATGCCATGAGCTCTGTTGGTTATTCATCCAAGTCTCATGAAATCCGCCCGCGCTTGACTCCTTCTCCCTCGTTTCCGGACATAGACCTCCATGTGACATTGATGTCATGGCAACCATGTCGCCAAATCACAAAAGGCAAGTAAAGCGACATGGTCATTGATTCAAATGCAGCTTGTCAATCACCAGCTCATGTACTTGGTCCATCGCATCGAGGAACTCGATGCCAAGCTTTTGGCAAACGAGTTGCACGTTGGCCCTTTTGGAATATCCCTCGGGCGCTATGGCGATGACCTTGCCCGGGACCTGCGCGGAAAGACCGAATTCTAAAAGACCAGACTTATCGGAGCCAGCGTAGCCGGGTGCAGGTACACCACAACAAGGTCGGCCGCGACTTTCTTGTCGAGCTCCCACAGGACTTGCTCGCGATATGGACCAAAATTGATGTCCTCGCGCCATGTGCTGTCCCAGTCCGGGCGGTTGGGGTTGAAAATGGTTACCGGGTAATTGGAGAGCAAGGCAGACAGATTTTCGCGCCAGTCGCCATTGTTTTCGACTGCAGCGGTTGTGCCCGCGAGAAAGACCGACTTGATTCCGGTCACGGGCTCCTCCGAAGGCGCGCGTATAATCTGGCTTCTCTGGATGGGGCTCATTGTATGATGGTGTTCTGGCCCGAGTACCTTCTTGCGCAACTCCATCACCTGCAGACCCAACGTCTCTGCCTCGGGCTGTCTGCCTTGGCTATGATACGTCAATGACAGGTGGGCCATGCTTGTCAGGGTTGAGAAATGCTCTGGTCCTAACAAGACTTTGCGGGCGGCAACGACGTGTGATTGCATCGCTTCGGCCTCATCCCATCGGCCCTGGTTGTGGTAACTAACCCCAAGATTACTTATACCCCTTAATGTATGAGGATGGTCTTTCCCCAGGACTTTGATGCGAATATTCATCACCTGAACCAGTAACTCTTCAGCTTCTCGATATCGGCCCTGGTTATTGTACGTGTGTGCTAGATTGCCTATGCTTAATAGAGTATCGGGGTGCTCAACGCCAAGCACCTTCTTGCGTGCAGTCATGGTCTCTTTGCCCAGCCTTTCAGCCTGGTTCCACCACCCTTGGCAGTTATACAAATACACGAGATTGCTCATACCGACCAGAGTGTCCGGGTGTTCAGCGCCGAGAAGGCGTTTCCGAAGTTGCAGCGCTTGTAGCTCGAGCTTTTCCGCTTCCTTCCACTGAGACAGGTCGCTATATTCGCTGCGTCGGAGGAACGCCAAAAGGTTGCACCTCACCCGAGCCCAAAATTGCCAGTTGACGAGCAACCTACCCCGTGCCGTCTGTGGGTTTGCGTCAACCTACAAGGGGTGAAAATTCTTCATCTGCGCATCAAAATGCAAACCGTTCCCTCGTCTTACATAGCAGGTAGTAGGAGGAGTTGGGCTCCAGCGCCCACGCCGTCAAACCCCCGACGTGTGTAACTTCAGCCTGACATTCTCCTTTTGTTCTTCTGCAGCGCCCAGTCTTCGGCTGACGGTAGTAAACAATATGCCGTCGTCAAGTCCTACGGGGAGGCGGTTAGTCATATACGGTCATTACCAGGCACCAAACCAAAGGAAAGAGGCGTCTGTTATGCAAAGTCCGGGGGGCGTTGTGACGGGCGAAGAAAACGCACGCTCGGTGACAGGACATCGGGATGGAGAAAACGGTGTATTGTGGGGGAACGTGAGTCTGGGGGAACGTTACGGGTAAAGGTCGGGCAAGTTCAAATTTCGGGCGCGGTATCATCCAACCAGACTCATGCCCCATCCCTAACCGCAGCGGACATCTGGGGACTCCGGAACCCCCCGCCACATTGACGCCACAGATCGCCCAGGTGCCCCTCACCGACCCTCCACCAACATGATGCCGCATCCCGTCAAGCCAAGACGTCAACTGACAAGTGAGATAGTACTATGTATGTACATGTATCAACCGTCAACCGTGTAGTGGCGCCCAACATGTCAACTGGTCAACTGGTCCTTATCCGCAGCCCCCGATACGTGACGCGATGCCAAGTGACCAGCCCTCAATCCTCAACTTCACACCTCCATGTCCCAACATCCAATGCCCTTTGCCCCGCCTTGGCCTCGCCAGCTTCCCCTTCCCCCAGATGCTCGCTACCTAGATACCTAGGTACTTGAGCACCTCGACTGTAATCTCAAGCTCCAAAGGCTCCCGTCGCCGCAACTGCATCCACACCACGTTCGTGGTTTTGAATAACCAGCCAGTTGGCCGTTTTGCCTCGCGTTCCCTCGCCATGTCGTCCCTCCCCAACGTCCACGTCTCGACGCACCCGTCCCTGCGCACCAAACTGAGCCAGCTGCGCTCCCAAACAGCCGACTCGAGACAAGTAAAAGCGCTCGTGAATGACATTTCGCTCATCCTGGCATGTGAAGCCCTGGCCAAGAACCTCGTAACCGGCCCCGGACCCAAGGTGAAGATCCCCCCCCCCCAGTCCGCTCTAGCTGTTTCGAAGCACGACTGACGCCGACGGCCAGGACGCAACTCCGCTCGGCTTCGAGTACACGGCGACAACGGCGCACCCGCAGACGATTTGCATCGTGCCCATCCTCCGGTCCGGCCTGGGCATGGTGGACGGTAAGAAAAAGCCAGCCCTCCTACAATGTGTGTTGAATGACAGGGCATTGACGCGCAAAACGCAGCCGTGCAGACCATTCTGCCCGACCCCGTCCCCGTACACCACCTCGGCATGTACCGCGAGCCGTCGACCCTCGACCCCGTTGAGTACTACAACAACCTGCCGCACCACAGCCCGCAGTCGTCCGCCGAGAACAGCACCGCCAGCAGCCTCGCCGTCCTGGTCGATCCCGTCATCGCCACGGGCGGCACGTGCGCCGCCGCCATCCAGACGCTGAGGGAATGGGGCGCCAAAAAGGTCCTCGTCATGTCCATCATTGGCGCCGAGGAAGGCGTCAAGAGGGCCGCCGAGGAGTGGCCCGAGGGGACGGAGCTGTGGATCGCGGGCGTGGACGCCGAGTTGACGCCCGACGGCATGCTGAAGCCTGGCCTGGGCGACATTGGCGACAGGCTGTTCCTGACGACGGCTAAGCAGGCGTAGATGAATCAAGCAGTTACTGCCCGTCTTGTCTCATGGCCTCGTTGCCAGTCTCCTCGTCTCGCAGCAGACAACGCAGAGCTTGAGCCCGCATTATGTATATATATATACCTCGAGTACCTTGGGAGCACATGTCCCAGCTATGAAATCACATACTTCTCCTCGTCTAGCAATGTCCTCTCCTTCCAGCAGTCTAGAACCCACCCATGTCCCAAAACACGCGGCACCTTGGCCCAGGAGCTCACTTGTCTCCTGGCCGTGTCCGCCGCCTCCCCGACTTGCATGGCGTCGTCTCCCACGACCACCACGTGCGTGACGCCCTCGCGCAGGCTGTCCACGACCTTGCCGCCCGTGTACATGACATAATGGACCAGCTTCCCCGTCGGCCCGTCCACGCCGTCCACGGCTCGAAAATGCACCACGCACCGCCTCATCATGAACCCTCTCAGCTCCGCGATGCCCTTGCCCCTCTCTTCCAGCTCGGCCAAAAAACGGTCCCCGTCAAAGGCCTCCTCCACCTTGGGCATGGCGCCCACAATCCCCCTCAGCTCGTCCACCGAGACGTCGCGCGCATAGCTATCCCCGTACATGTCCGTGTTCTTGGCCGCAACAGCGCCCAGCGCCTCGGTCGCATGAAACAGGTGGCCCTCCTCGTAGGGCAGCAGAAAATCGCCACCCTGCTCGACGCAGTCCCTGATCCACTTGGGGCGTATAATATTGGCGTTGCCGCCCTTGATCAAGCTCGCCACCTTGACGACATTCTTGTCCGCTACGAGAACCATGCGCGTGCCCGCGACGGCCCGCTGCGAGACGGTGCCGCCGTTTTCCTTGATGACGGCCTCCAGCTGCGCCTTTGTCTTCCTCCACGGCCTGAGCGACTCGGAGAGCACGCAAAACTCGAGACCGTCAAAGACGTGCGACGCCGCGCCGCGGGACGCCACGGCCGTCGCGTCCTCGCCCGCAATCACGACGCTCCTCTTGGCGCGCTTGGGGTGTCTGCGCTTCCTGTCCTCCACCGTCATGGCCTTCTCCCTGGCCTCCCGGTCCACCTGGCGCTTGAGCTCCTCGAACTCGTCCACCGACAGCGCCGAGTCCCACGCGCGGTCGAGGCGCAGCCGGCGGAACCGGGGGAACCGCAGCGTGTACCCCATGGCGAAGCTGTCGGAGGGGCCGACGCTGGCCGCCTTTGCGGAGAGCACGACCGAGTCCCGCGGCCGGATCCACACGTCCGGCCGCTCGAGCTGCCTGCCCTCCCCGCCGCCGAGCTCGACGTACTCGGTCGGCGGGTTCCTCCTGTCCCACTCGACCCATTTTCCCTCGGTGCGGTGCCGTATCTCGGCGTAGTCCTCGCCGCGGAACCCGCCGCCCACCTTGAAGAAGCTGTAGCATTTTTCGGGGTTGTCGCCGGCCTGTATGTGGTTCGGGGACACGCGGAGCCCGCACAGGAAGCTGGACAGCGTGCCGCCTCGCTTGCCGGAGCCGTAGTACCCGCCTATCACGAGGCAGTCGAGCGATTCGCCAAACTCGGACATGTACTCGGGCTTCACCTTGAGCCAGTCGTCGTTGCGGCTGTTGAGTCTGTACATGGAGCGTGGGTTCTTCAGCACCAGGCCTTCGGAGGCGCTGGCCACGACCTCTCGGAGCATGGGCTCGATGGCGTCGGCCGTCGTGGCGCTCTTGTACGCGTGGATTTCGAGCCGCCGGTGAACGGGCCTGATTGCCTTTTCGAGGGCGCGGTGCCGGTCGCGAAGGGTGTACTGCGTGAGAGGCTTGTCGTTGAGGTATACTATGTCAAAGACGCGATACAAGGGCCGGTGACCGGATGCGTCGGAGCCCGACTTGTTCTGCTGCTCTGCAATGGCGGCGGTTTTCAGGGTGCCAAAGGGGACGATCTTGTCGACCGCCATGTCCCATGTGATCATCTCCCCGTCCAGTATGAGATTCCGAACACCGGGGGCAAAGGCGTCTTTCAAATGGCGCGTCAAGCTGGAGTTTTCGTCCAGTACGCCGTCGCCGTATAGGTATGTGTAGTCCTTTGCCTTGCGCGACCAGAAACAAAAGCGTTTGCCTCCGGGGTGGGAGGCATCAGCCACCATGTGCATCTGCATTCGCTCCCCATCCAGCTTCTCCTCGATCCAAAACTCGGCGTCATCCTCTGTCGGCCGCAGCAGCTCCGTCATCTTTTGAAAAGAGGCGGGCATCTGGAACTGGGCCAGTTGCGGCTGGAAGCACTGCATCAGCGATATGCCGGCTTCTTCCTGCTCCAGCCTGACATCCGGGTCGTACAGCTCCCAACACACGCGCCTCAGGCTCGACGACACGCTGAATAGCGTCTCGCCGTCCGGGTGCCACAGGTAGAGGAAAGTCTTCTCTGTGGCACCGACCTTCATTTGCTTGAGGATGATGCGGATGAGCCACAGCATCTCCTCGGCGTTCATGCGGTTGTAAAACGTCTCAAATACCCTCAGGTTTTCCGCCTCTCCAGCCGATGCGGCCAACTTGTCCAGCTGCTCATTTACCTCGGCAATGGTCATGTCGCCCACCTCGATCCGCATCGGTCTCTTGGAAATGACCTCGTAGCATCGGCCGGCAAAGTCGCCAGCCAGTCGAGCCGCCATTGTCTGGCCGGGCAGCTTCCAGTGCAAGAGATTGTAGCCATCTTCAGAGTTTTTGTCAATCTTGATGAGCTTTACCAGTAGCTTGCCGATGGCGTTCTCCTTGAGCCCGTAGACACCACGGTCGCGGTCCTTGTCGGGCAGAATCAGCCGCAGCGCGGGATAGAAGTCGTTGCCGACTTCTTTGCGCCACCTGTTGATGAATCTCTCGATGATGTGGCGTCTCTGCTCTTGCGGCGAGAGCGTAGTTGCGCCGTGAGGGCCCTTCTTGCGAGCCGGACCAGCCGCTGGCTGCTTCTTGTTCTCATTGAGCGGGTTAAAGAGCTGGAGGAACAGCTCGGAAAAGAGCAGGGTTTTGGAGTGATTGTGCGGCCTGTTTGGGTACCTGCCAGATTGTCAGGGAGGGCATCAATGACGAAAACGGGGGCGCCGTTCAAAGGCGGAGGTTTCAATAATTACTTTTCCTCGAGCTCTTCTTTCGTCAAGCCGACTGCGCCATACTGCATTTCCTCCTCACGCTCGGCATCGGCATCTGGCGACTTGGCCCTGTTGAAGCCGCTCATTGTGGGTGCGCAAGTTTCTAGCAATCAGTCACAAAGGAAAATGACAATTTCAAGCGGCGGGCTATGTCGGTCCCAGGAATTTTGGTATCATGGCGAACACTGCGTAATATCTCTCGCATTGGACAAGGTCAACCTGCTTGGCCATGTAGTTATGAATTTGAATGCTCCGGTGCAGAGTGCGTGAGCAGGCAGAAGCTTGCATGTGGGGTTCAAATGTTGAGCCGGCATTTGAAGCTAACGCCAACCAGAGCCAATGAGCAACATTGAAATTGAATTCCAGTCCGCCACCTACCCTCAACACTCACGGCAAGCATTCACGAGGCACGGTTCTCCGACTTCTACTATAATTTGTTTTCGCTCATGCGCCCATGCCTCTTCTTCTCAATTTCATCTAGCCCTATGTGTCTGAAATCCCCATCAAGATAGCCGATTGCAAAACCTTTTCGCTGGGCGCCGGATCGGGCTGTCCCTTGCCACGACAAACCAGCTCTGTCTCACCTCAACATCGTATCTCAAACTGTGCCTTTCGTGGCGAGACCATCGTCACTGACTGCTCTCGTGTCAGCGGCCGGTTCGGTTGCACAATTATTTCAGCCAACTTGCCCGCCATGCGTTTTCTTACCATGGCTCTGGCGCCATGCAATGTGCAGATGCGACCACGAAAGCCTTGTCCAGGATATGAGTACCAATAGCACGGTTTCTTGCTGTCGTACCGCATGCGAGCTGGCCTCTTGTGTCGCCAGCTGTGCACGATCGGGGATTGTGCCACCTCTCTTGCCCATGTTATGAGATGGGCATGCCCATTTCTGCGCCATCCCCCCCTTTCCGTGGGATCAAAATTACGCTAATGTGAAAGCTGTCTGGCAAAATTTGCATCTTTTCCCACGAGAATAATCGAATCGAGCTTTTAATTTTATTCTATAAGAGCTCCGTCGGTATAATATGTGGGCATCAACACCTGAAGAAAGGGGTCCGGCAGCAGAAGCCAGTGTTGAGCGATGGGCATTCGTCCCAAGGTTCATCCGAGAAGGCTCACTTGGTGCCATTTATTCAGCCACCTCGCAAGGATGCTTTGCGTGGTTGCATGAGATTGAATAGATTCTGAGCTACTCGGCCTTGTCGACACCACATTTTGTCATGGGATTCAAATGCATCCCAAGCCACCTTACTGCCGTGTACGCCCCCGTCCAACCACGTACTATATAGAAACTCAGCGTGATCCAGGTCTGGCAAGCCCATGCAAACACTCGACAAAACCCAGAATCCACAGCCTTGTAGTCATCTCTCAGTCACCATGGCCTTTGCTTCGACCCATCCCAGTGTGCTCAGCGTGGTCATCGAGGTCGAGTTTCTCGTGGCTGTAGAAAAGGACGGCCACAAATACAACAACACGGCCGCCGCTGGAAACGACACAGAAGGCACCGCCTCGCAGATTCACAAATGGGCCTGTCCGTCGCAAGCAGACGACCCATCGATGGATGTCCTGCACCAATGCAAGGCCGTCCTGTCCAGAGACCACGCCAACGTCATCATCCGCCACAACGAAACGCACCTGACAGAGAGGTCCTGGCAGTCTGCGCGTTTCGATTCCTGGATACTACAACCCTGCCACCGCGGCTCATCCGCCTCGTCGGGCAGCCCGACAAACTACGACTGGAGCGGCGTCAAGCTCCGGAGCCCGCTCATGCCCGACACCCAGCTCACCGGCGACCCGTCCCCGGCGCTCCGGTGCGTCGAAACCCTCCGCCGCGCCATCCTCATCCGCGTCGACGCCTCCTGCAAGCTCAGCGTCTCGCTCCGGCCCGGCAGCAACTTCACACCAGTCCAGGCCAAGAAGCTCGCGACGCTGGTGTGGCTCACGGAACGGGACCTGCTCGTTCCCCTGCGACACTTGGGTTGTGATGTCGCGGCTGTCGCTTGCCCCCGGCCAGTCACGACCGCATCCCTCGCGGCCATTTCCCGCCACGGCCAGACGTTTGACGCCGCCGAGCCTCTCGACCCGCTGCTGGAGGGAATCATGAACTCCCACCTGCCGACGGGGCTGGGAGACGGCGCCGCCCGCAGCTGCCTGCAGAGGCTGTGGGCGTGTCCCGAGGGCTGGGGGCGTGTCCCGACCCCGCCCGCCTCTCGGGCGCGCTTCGCGACCGGCACCGCGGCCCCCTAGCCTTCGCGCTGTACGTGTACGACGACGACGACGACGCCGAGGACAGCGGCGCCTCGTGCTGCGCCGTCGCGTCGTTCCGCTGCGCACCGTGGCATCCCCGCCGCGGGCTCGACGTGTCGCCACTCTGGACAGACTTGGTCCTCGCGCTCGGGAGGGCCACGAGCCTGGCGCCCGAGCGTTTCAAGAGCCTCGTAGCTGAGATTGACGACGTGAACTGCGCGTCTCGCCAGGGCGACGCCCACGGCGCGAGCCACCGCACACGGCTGATGAAGGCGCTGGGCACGGGGGACGCGCGCTGCGCCGAGTGGGAGCGCATCGTGGCGGACTGTAGAAACGGCGCTCCTTGACTGCCAGGGGACCCGACCGGGGCCATTATGTATTATTTTTTGCAAACAAGTCTCGTATTACTCTAGCTCTATGTACATCATCAGCTTGCCGTGACCCTTCTGTGCTAAAAAAAAAAAAAAAAAACTTAAAAAAAACTTTGCATCTTTGTCGGGCGGCCATGCGCGCTGCCTCGAAACAAAAAATATATTTTTTACCTGCTAGTCCCCATGGTCTCTCCCCGAGACGAGTCAGACCCTCCGCGACCTCCTCTTCCTCTTGCGAAGGGAGACAATCTGCTTCCGCTGCACCAGCCGCACAAACCAGGCGTATATCATGTCCCGCATGAGAATGACAATGGTTGCCAGTGCCGTCGGCACAGCACACGCCCAACTGAGCTCGATGTCAGTACTCATGCCTAGACCAGGGGAACAAAAAAAAAAAAAAAAGAAAAAGAAAAAGGCTTACAAGTACCATATCCCGTTGTGAAGCTCCGGGAACCCCTCGAAATTCTGCCCAAAGAAGCCCGTGATAAACGTCAAGGGCAGGAAGATGATTGTCACCATGGTCAGCTGCTGCATGGACGCGCTCTGGTTCGCCGAGATGGTATTGAAGATGAGATTAATCAGGTTCTCCGAGCTCTGCTTCAGCTGGCCCATTGCTTCCGTGATGAGGATGCAGTGGTCCAGCACGTCGCCCAGGTACGTGTGCGTCATGGGGGTGACGATGACGCCGCTGGCGGGGTTTTCCAGCTCCCGGCTGGCCTGCTCCTGGGTCAGGTGGGTGCGGTGGTCGCGGAGGACGTTGACGAGGTTGTCGATGGGGTTGAGGAAGCGCAGCATCTTGTTGATTTCGCTGATGCAAATGTACAGGCGGCGGCACTGCTTGATGCTCGGCGCCGTGAGCACGTCCAGCTCCAGGTCGCCCAGGAGGTCGGTGTAGACGGCGGTCAGGGGGAAGGCGAGGTCGATGATGGCGTCGACAATGGCCTGGACGAGGAGCGAGGCGTCGCAGGACTCGCGGAGGCTGGTGCCCGGCGTGGAGAGGCGGGTGACGATGGGCCGCTGCACGTCGTCGGCCGACACCTCGAAGAAGGATATCACCGTGTTGTCGTTGGTGAGGAAGATGGAGACCTGCTCGGCAGAGACGGCCATGCTGTAGGTCGCCAGGGAGGAGTGCTGCTCCATGTATTCGGTGCGGGCTTCGTTTCCCGACGCGTGGTAGCGCTGGAGCGAGCGTATCATGGATGTTTCTGGCAGTGTTGAGCCGTCGGCCAGGACTGGCCCGCCGCGGGCATCACGAGCATGGTGCTCGGGGTCCCTTTCCGCCTGCTTCGCTGCCTTGTGGCCCAGGCTGTGTAGCCAGCGCTTGGCGGTGGTTTGAGACGGCGTGCTGCTTGAGGTGGATGAGCCATCGTCATCTTCAACAAGGTGGACCAGTTTCTGAAGCGTCATGACGATGAAGGCATGGCTGGGATACCTGGGGCGTCAACTGACATTAGCAATCGTGCCATCGCTCTATCCATGGCAAGGAGAGACTAACCAGTCGGCTTTTGTTCTGTTCCGCAGATTCATCACATCCTCGAGCGCGAGCTTGTGCAGTCCCTTGTTGGTGCCCACGGCCTGAATCACGTCCCAGCTCAAGCCATTGACATTGATCCAGCGGCACTTGGCCCAGGCTTCCTTTGGCTTGTCCAAAAACGCGATGAAGGACTCGTTGTTGAAATGCTGCTTGTCCATGCGCTCCAGGGCGAAATCGACAACGGTAATGTCACACTCGGCGCTCAGCGCGGGCATGGACGCGTGGCCGCCATCAGGCAGTTCAGGATCGTAGCCCGGCTCGGAACCAGGCTGCCAGCCCGGCAGGGCGCCGTACGTGTCAAAGTCGTCGCAATCATCGACCGTCTTGAACGTGTTGGTGCGCGAGCTGCGGCGGCGGACGAGCACAGGCGACAGAAAGGAGTCGCGGTAGATTTCCGTGTCGGAGCGAGCTGAGCGCTTGCGAGGTTCGGCGCGTCGGGGCGACAGGTTCTGCGCGTCGACGCCGGGATGGTATGCGGCGTGGAGGTCGGATGAGGTTTGGGGTCGCGGGGGGTCTGGTGAGGGCGCTTGCTCGTCGGGTTGTTTCTCAGAGGCCATGGTGTCGCGACTGCTGCGATGCAAAGACGAGGGTTGGAACGTAACGTCACGATGCACTCCTCGCCAGGCCAATGCGCACCAGTGCGGAAGGGAGTGCGGGTGTTACGATTGCGCGGCAACGCTGCCGCTGTTGCGCAAGTCAGGAGCGTGGGAAGCCATGGCCACTTGACCTCTGTGTTCTCGAGAGATGTGAATGGCGATCAGCCCTGATCCTATCCCGAGTGGTCGTGCGTTTCGTGCTGATGACGTCGGGGAAAGCCACCAAGTTTTGGCGCCGACGCACCAGTGGCAAGTCTGAATGTCCGCCACATCCTTTCTCTGCCTTTGGTGAGATGAACGGTGCGGGAAAAGAGCGATAAATTCGACAATGCCCGTTGAGATCAATGTCTGGTTTGTGTCTGGGCATGGGTTTGCCCGCCCCGCAGCACGGCGTGTGAACTGTCAAGATTGAAAGCTGCCAAGAAACACGCCAAGGCATCCATCGCCTCATACAAGAGCCAAAGGCGACAACTCGTGAGCTGGCCGCCACATGAGATTCAACTTCACAAGCCCGACCCGGCGATAGCTTTCCACCGCTTCGCCCTGGACCACCAGAGGACCGTTTCTGACCAGCAACAGTCCGAATTGTCGATTGATGGGCAGGCAGCACAAATCATCCGCCGCCATGTCCCTCTCGCTCTCGACATCGAAACTGGCAGACCCCGCAGCATCGAGCCCGTCATGCTCCAGTATTTGGCCATCCATGAGCCCATTGCCATTGATATTGAGTGTCGTCTCGGTATACTGAGGGCCGGAATTGCCCATAGGACCCCCCTCGAGCCCGGTGTGACGCATCGTCACCAGATCCTGCGACAAGTAGACATCTGCTGCGCCTACTGCGCTGAAGTTGGGAATGCGAGGCCGCGTCGCATCCGCGCCAGAGGCTATCACATTTCTCTGCAGGCTCTTGAGCGACGCTCTCTTTTGGACACAGGTTGAACAGGAGCAGGCATCGTCAATGGCCTCCAGCAGATGGATTGGATTCTCGGCACAAGATTCGCCTGCGTCGCCCGAGACTCTTGGTCCAAGCCTCACCCGTGCCGGGCTTCCATTGACGAGGAGGGACATGGTCCGGACCTGCCCAAACACATCTGGGCCGACGTATTCTGCTTCCACCGAAAGGAGCTCGATGAGCTTCTCGTTCATGTCATGGTATTTCGGCGTGATGCAGCACTTGACCTCCCCCTCGATCGACGCCCAGCTCCAAGACGGAGCACGGTACGTCGCCGGCCTGCTTGCTGTCCCCGACGCCACGGATTGCCACAGAAGGTCGTTTGTCAGTGTTCGCTTCCACAGCCCCGAATAGTAGTCGTCCTTGTTCAGGGCCTGGATGGCCCTCGCGCAGCCCGAAATGGCAGGGAGCTTGTCGGCCTCGTACGTCAAGCGCCTCCTGGAGTAGTTCTGCACCATCTTCGCCCACCACGTCGACGCCTCCATCGTGACCCATCGCAGAGCCATGCGCCAGCCGATGTCCTCGCTGCTGTAGCCCGGCGCGTGTCGCAAGTGGTGAGGGAGCCGGGGCGCCATGACATAGTGACTCGACGTGTCGTGGAGGACGTTGTCGCCTCGCTCCGTGCAGTGTCTCGTGTTGCACAGCCATGCGACCATATCTTTGCCGTAAATGAGCACCCGAGGGGACAGTGCCGTTTCCTGAAGGATCCAGGCGCGCCCATCTCCCCTTTCCGAGTGTATGAAGGGCACGTTGGGCGGCATCTCCGACACGTACACGTCGCCGCCGCCAGGTAACGGGCCATCCATGACGTCTCTCTGTATCCTAGGGGAGAGGCAGGGCAGGCACCTTCTGGGGGCTTTTGTCATGACGGCAAAACTCTGCTTCAAGTTGAGCCTGACGCGTCCAGCTGTCGTCCCGCGTGGGAGAAAGCAGCCGTGCTCGCTTCCTGCGGCGCCGGCGGCACTGATTGTTAACAGCGACTTGTTGTAGTATTGGTCCATCAGAGCTGCTTCGCGCTGCCAGTCCACTTGGGCTCGGGCATCCGTACCCTGCAAGATGCAGAGAGAGTCGATCCATAGGTATCGTACGCCCAGCCTGCGCGTGATCAGCACGGCATTTCTAAAGGTTTCCGGCAGCTCGGACTCGGGGACCTGCGCTTTTCTGGCCGCCAAAGATTCGACGTCTGTGACGAGGGGTCTTGAGGCGCCCCAGCAGTGGCTCAAGGTGACATAGAGTCCGCGAAGCTCTCGTTCCGTCTCGAGAAGAAACGGAGTCTTTGATCCATCCGAGGGCCCTACATCGATGACTCGGGTGGGCAGTAGAGGGAGCTCTTCGACCGGGTGTGCATCTGCATCCCTGGCTTGGAACAACTGCTGCTGTGTGTCTTGCTGCCGCCCGATTTCGTCGTACCTCTGGGACATGTCCTGACAAAGCCTGGCGTCCTCGGCAAGATTTGGGTGGTTGTGTATACAATCCTTCATCCATGAAGCTATCTGGCCAAACACGGCCTCGGAATCCGCACGAGCGTGGACTTCCCGCCCTGCTATTGTGCCCGCAAGCCGAGAGTCTTGATCGAAAACGCAAAGTTAGTCGACGTGCCATGTTTTTGCGGGTTGCGGCGCACATTGATCCCATCATACCTGGTGCGACGAAAAGGTGCATGCGGCCATGGCGGTCCTCCAGTGCGCCGTCACGTTCAGTACGCAGCGCAGCTTTGATGCCGTCGTTCACATCACCGCTCCAGTGGAGCCACAGGCCCTCACGACGGCCAACTCTTGCCAGTGACAGGGTGAAGGCAGTGTTTCGAGCCGATCCCAAGGGCTCGGGGGGTACTCTACTCAACACGGCCCGTATTAGCGAGCAAAACTCGCAGCCCTTGGCCGCTGAGTCGTCG